CAGACAGACAGATCTTCACATCGAGGCTGAATCAGGCATAAGGTGACGTTTTCCTGACGAGTCTTTCTACCTCGTGGCCAACAGAGGGCGCTGTCTCTCCGTTTGTTTCTGAGCACCAGCTTCCAAGCAGCTGCGCAGCTTTTTAACAAGTCAATTAATATCAATGAGTGAATATACACAGCACATTTACAAAGAGTGCAATCTGAGGGATGAATTAACAAAATCGATTAGGGATTAAAAAAAAATCATAAATGACTGTGCGACGGGCAGACATGGTGGAAGTGGCCCTCGCTGGAAATCAATGAATTAGAAATATGAATCTAATCGYCCATTGGTGACACGCTGAGGAGCTGCAGCCTGATCACAGACCTTTTTCCTTATTGTAGCTCTGAGAAGAGGAAATAAAAAGTGGAGCATTTAACACTCAAAGTGCTGGCATGCAGATAATAATAGATCAGTTTGATCAAATCTAAATAAAACAGAAAACATTTGGCACAACATTGCGTCAAAATCACATCTTGACACGTTTTCCCAATTTGGGATCTATTTTGAATTTGATTATTGATTAATTATAAGCACGTGCAGTTCTAAAATCCATACTCAGGTCTAAGGATATTTGTTGTTTTAAAAATGAACTTTTATTATTTCATTTAAAACGTTTTAGGAAAGTAAACAAATAAAAGCATACATTAGGCCTCTGATAATTGTTGCCACAATAAGCTTTTACGCACTAAGTTCGTGACAGCATGGCAACTTTTCATTTTTTTTAATGTTCACGATTGCCTCACACTTCTTTAAATTTTCCAATAAAAAAAACAAGAATGGAATTTGAAACCAAAAGTGAATTATTTTAATTTAATAAAGTCTGACTGTCCCAGTTCTGTTTGGTGTCTGATGGGTCACTTTGAGTCCAAACCGTCCTTGTTGGTTTGCTGCTAATTGGACTGTATGAGACCAATAACAGGGGAGCGCGCGTACAGCCCGCAGCCGGAGCGCACAGGGAGGGGAGGACGGACTCTCCCTCTTTTTTTCCCCTCTCCCTCCCCTTCACCGTCTCTCCCTTAATCCCATTTGCCATTGTACATGCCCAATCGCCTATACTTTCCGCATTTAACTTGGATGACATTTTTATTTCATCATTAGCATCAGACGGCAGACTGACTGACACGCCGAACTCGGGGGTTTTTGACGGARGACTCGGGGATGTGACATGCTTCTACATGTCTCCATCGTAACACCTGATTTTGTTTTTTTATTTTTTACCCCCCGTGCAGAAGGAAGTGCGCTTTAACACGCTCTCTGGGCGTGAAATTTAGTTTTTAAAGATACAAAAGTAACTCGAAACAGTTAGGAAACCTGCAGTCCGTGCGTAAGCGCGCCCTTCTGTTTATAGTTATAGGTTTKTTTTTCTGCCTTCGTGGAGCTCCGCGTTCCGACCATGCCCGAGACGACGACGCAAGAGACTCCGGCCAAGGACTCTCCTTTCTTCATCAAGAACCTGCTGAACTGTGACAGCAAGCCATCCAAGCCCCGACCCACCCTGACYGCCACCAAGGCGGCCCTGGAGGGAGGCTTCTCCCTCTCCCAGGTGGAGGGCTTCAGCTTTCCGCGCTTTGACGTGCCCGCGCAGAGATTCACTTTACCGGCCCACTACTTGGAGCGCACCTCGGCGTGGTGGTACCCCTACACCCTCAGCTCAGCCGCGCATCTGCACAGGAGCGAAGGTAAACACTTTGAATTAACGAATTTTAAAATGCTGAGAATAACATCAAGTAAAACTTTAACCCGAAGTTACTCAATTTCCAAACTCCCTCCAGAGATTTAACAGATAAATGCATGCTTTTGTATTTTATTTTTTTTGAAATTGGTCAAATACTGTGTTGTATCTGGGCGTGTGAAGATTTACTGCCTCCCAGGCCTGTTTTGTTATGAGATAATAGATCAATAAAGTAACACGCTGTGCATAAAATGAAGCAGACATGATTGGATGAGGGTGACGATGCGCAGCTTGCTTTTGATTTGTCTGTTAGCGCTCCTGGTGCACATCTTACCCCYGAGGCTCGGTCACTGACAGCCCCCCCTTTTTTATTTTACCTCCCTGTTTTTTATGATTTATTCATGCGGAATTGTGGTTTGACGGTTGTTTCTCAAATGTAAAGCAAGCTGAAAATAAAGGGGGGAAACATCGACATTCGTTAAACCTTCAAAAATGTTATGTTTGTTATAGTTTGGCATTAATTATCTAATTGTAAAATGCTTTATGTTCGCGATCTTTCTTTTTTTYMMCYT